GTGGGGGTGTGTGTGTGTGTGTGTGCGCGCACGCGCCCCCACTTCTACCTAATTAACCAGGGGTGTAATCAGCGGTGCCATCACGTCTCAATACCTGTTGGAGAAGTCTCGCATTGTCTTTCAGGTAAACTGGACACGCACGCACACACACACACACACACACACACACACACACACACACACACACATATGCACAGACACACACACACAGGCGGCATCTCCTTACAAGTGAGTCAGAGTGTGCGAAAGAGGAGATTCATGAGTCAGTCAGCGTGAGGGTGTCCAACATGAAGCTGTGTCTCTTTAATCCCGATGTCCATCAAACATCTCCATCAATAGCGTCTGTCGTCTGCAGGACTGAGATGACCTCACACTCTGCGCCCACACACGCGTGCGCGATGTCTATTTGAAGGAAGATCACTCGGATGCACCTGCCCTCCTTTTACATGGCGTCATCTGATTGTTATTTTCCTCTGCGCATGTGATCCCATCTTTACCCGATCTGAAACGTGGCCTTTACATCTTATTATTTGTCATCTTTTTTTTTTTGGGACAGCGGACCCCCGCTTATTTACAGCTTCGGCATTGTCAAATTCACTTATTAGCAGATTTTATTTGGTATTTGCCCTGTTGTGTGCTGACCCCTCCCGCATTTTCTCTGGGTTTTTTTGTTGCTGTTGTTGTTTTTTCCACAATTCCCCAATTATTTGCATTTTTTTATTATTTTTTTTTCATGGCAAATTGATTATGAAGCATCCGTTAAAAACAAAAGATGATCAGGGCTGAGCTTAAGCCTATATTATTTTTCTTCATGAAAAGAAATGAAGTTAGCATTTAGCTTCGCATGAAAAGTAAAAGAAAATGGCCATTGTCCACGAATAAGGTCATGAGCAGACATTTCTCAATGTAGAAAACAGGAGGTACTGTACGTATCTTATATTGAAACCTTCTATGTGTGGCTTTTTTGAGGGTTTTTTTTGTTGTTGTTTTTTTTTGTTGTTGTTGTCGGGGTCAGGCCAAATCAGAGAGAAACTACCACATCTTCTACGAGATGCTGGCGGGCCTTCCTCCGCACGAGAAGCGCTCGCTTTATCTGCAGGATGCTGAGACCTACTACTATCTCAACCAGGTGCGAGCACGCACACACACGACACAATTCAGCACAGCACAGCGAATCAATTTCTGGGTTCACAAATGACTTGTCATCTCTGCGCCAAGGTGACATTCATTCTCCAGACGTGGCTTCATGGCCGCCAATGTAAAGCTTTCACTTTGTTTGAAGTTAATGCACTGATATGATGAATGTTGTCTGCAACGAAGGGGAGCCTTTCAACCTCGTTGACCGCCAGAGCGCATTCGCACGTTCGTACTTACCTTAGCCACAGCCACGCAGCCGCCCGGTGTCAGTCAGGGACTTTCTTTGGAGGCTTTTTGGTTTGTTTTTAACGCTCACGTGTGCTCGTGCGCACAGGGAGGCGATTGCAAAATTGCCAGCAAGGACGACGACGAGGACTTCCGCCGGCTACTGAGCGCCATGGCCATCTTGCGCTTCACTGGCGAGGAGCAGAAGGCCATCTACCGGCTCCTGTCCTCCATCCTCCATCTCGGCAACGTCTACTTCCAGTCGCAGGAGGTCAACACGTCACAGCCGGATGCCGGGGGCAGGGCAAACGTTACGTGGCGGGCCTGCAGTTTTGTCTTTTTTAAACAGACCGGAAGGCTGGCTCGGTTGTAGATGACGTTTGAAATTGTTCCGTAAAAAGGTGCAAAATGGTTTAGGTTCATGATCAAATCAAAAGACATTCTAATTTTTGGGGCTATAATTTATTAAAGTATAATTAATTCACCATTCTTAAAAAAACAAAATAAATATGGACTCAGATTTTGAAAAACAATAAATATAATATACAGAACATAGATAAAAAATAAAGCATCATTTATTCTAATTACGAATCCATATAATGCAATTTAATTGAAGTTCATTAAATCAAATAAATGTCAAAATGTCTTCAAAAGTAACAATGTCGATCTAAAATGCATATCTAAAATACCTCAAATAGTTTTAATAACGGAAAATATTTCAAATGTTTTATTTTCATCAAATACAAATTATTTCTAGAATGAATGGATCATAATTAATAATTAATTAAATCGATACAATATTTAGAATTTAATGAACTTCTTTTATTTGATTATTGCCCCCCCACCCCAAAAAAATGAATTGACCGATTATTGGATGAGATACATGCATATGTAACCAATAAAAATGAACCATCCCCCTTTAATCAATCAATTCCGACCCCCCAGCCCAAAATGGCTAAATGAAGGCGGCAAATATTACCGGACTCTTGATCATGGAAACGCTCAATGGGTCAAATCCAAGATGGCGTCAATGGCGATTGGCAGGCTGGATGTTGATGATACTGATTGATGATGTCCCCTGCAGGCTGGTGGTGGTCAGGAGTCATCGGCGGCGGTGGTGGTGAGCACTCAGGAGATCCGAGTGGTCGCCGAGCTGCTGCAGGTGTCGGCCGAAGGCCTGCAGAAGTGCATCACCTTCAAAGTCATGGTGAGCGCCACGCGGGCGACTGCACAGCGACGACGTCGCGAGGCTTGACTGGTGGCATGTTGCGCTTGCAGGACACAGTCAGGGAAAAGATCGCCACTCCGCTCACCGTGGAGAGCGCTGTGGATGCCAGGTCAGTTCAAGTCCACTTTTTTCGGATTTGTAATTATTTTCCGTGATTCGTGGCTTCGTCACATCCCGGCTGGATGACAGTCATGCACTTGACTTTGGAGTCAGCTAATCCTCCATCAAGCGTTTCCAGTTGGTCCAGAATGCTGCTGCCCACCTCTTGACTGGTACCTCGATATTAGAAGTGCAACCAGTAATCGATTCATCAACAACTGACCGATGATCAAATGAATCAACAATGGTTTTTGATCATCGATTCATCATTGCGATACATTTTTCAAATTGAATTTGCTTGGAATTTCAGCTTCTCAACAGGACATAATATGCGGTTTCGGCCATCGCGAAAGTTGCTTATCCTTTGGAACACACGCTGATGTGCAAAATGACATATTACGGAGCAAAACCGAATCATAATCAGTTTGCTATATGTTTGTGCGGTTCATCTTTATCATATTACAAAATACAAAAGTTGTTTTTTTGGTCAAATAAAATTGGTCTGGCGTCAAACTCCCCAGCAAATAAGATGATTGCTGATGGGGACCTCTTTGACATTCACTTCCCATCTTTGAAGGGGGCACGGAAGGACAAAGCGTGTCAAGGTTTTCAGGGGTGCGCAGAGAGGTTGGGGTTGGGGGGTGGGTGGGTTATCTTTTCAGATGCCTTCTTGTTTCCATAGGAACCAGGTTCTCTTGTTTCCATAGCAACCCCGTTGTGCGTGTCTCGTAGAGACGCCGTTGCCAAGATCCTCTACTCGCTGCTCTTCAACTGGCTGACGGAGCGTATCAACGGACGGGTGTACCCCCGCAACGAGGCACTCTACATCTCCATACTGGACATTTATGGATTCGAGGTCCCATTTTATTATTTATTTTTTTTAACCTTACATTATTCACTCAGCCTCGGACTGACATTGGCGACACCTCACTTTGAATCCAACCTCTGTAGGAGCTACAAGTGAACAGTTTTGAGCAGCTGTGCATCAACTTTGCCAACGAAACTTTGCAGTTCTTCTTTAACAAAGTCATCATCCAACAGGAGCAGGTCAGGGGAAAAACGTTTGGTTTTGGGTTGCCCGAGCGGTAATCTCGGCAAGATTGTGCTTCCTGCGTATGTGGCGGCCGTTTCGTAGGAGGAGTACATGCGCGAGCAGATCGAGTGGCGCCAGCAGCCCTTCGGCCACAACCGGGCCTGCCTGGACCTCATTGGCGCAAAGCCTCACGGGATCCTGCGCATCCTTGATGACCAGTGTGGTTTTCCTCAGGTCAGCTTTTGCCGCCACCTGCCCCCAAGAGAAGCGGGCGCATGAGCACTGACCCCCCCCCCCCCCACCTTCTCCATGGTCTTCTGCCAATCAGGCCACAGACCACACGTTCCTGCACAAGTGCCATTATCACCATGGTGACGACCCCCTGTACGTCAAGCCAAAGATGCCGCTGCCCGAGTTCACCCTCAAACACTTTGCCGGCCAAGTCACCTATCAGGTACTTTTTCCTGGCTCGTCATTCAGGCAGCACTCTGGTCGGTGATAAGCGGGAAAGTTGGGTGCTAAAAGTCGTCTCGTGTTTTGACTCCTCGAGGTCCACAAGTTTCTGGACAAGAACTTTGACACGGTCCGCCAAGATGTCGTGGACCTTTTCATCGGCAGCAAAAACGCAGTCAGACTTTGGCTGTTTTGAAGTCCTCTCCATGTCATCTACCTCCATGCTTACGTGTGTGTGTGTGTGTGTGTGTGTGTGTG